AAAATTAAGTAAAAAATAAAATTAAAAATTAAATCATACTAATAAAATTAGTTTTTATTTAAGATATAATGATTTAATATATAAAGTATAAGAGAATGAATTCATTAAATATCAAAATAAGAGTTAAAAACTTATTTTTCATTATCATCATTCATTTTTTAGTAATTTATTGATCTAAAGTAATAATTAATGTTAACCATTAGAGACTTACTTTGATATTTGCTCTTAAAATACATAAATCTCTTGTCAAATAATATATATATATATATATATATATATATATATTAATAAAGAAATATACTTTTATTTTTATTTAAAACATAATTATTATTTTATAAAAGCGGGTTGGTTCATAAGTCTATGAACTAACCTAGTTTAAGTCCATATAGGTCATGGCCTAAACGGATCCGGACCAAAATAGGCCCGATTTAATTTAAGCCATAATTTTCTTAGCCTAGTCGACTTATTTATCATATCAACTCATTAGGCTAAGCCTATTTTGACACCCTTAACACCTTAAACATTAAGTGGGGGTTAAGTCTTTTTTATCCTGTTGGTCTTGTTCTTCAATGTGATTTTGATGTGGGAAATGATTTGATTATAGGTTAAAGGTTCCTAGTTTTAAGCTCTCATTCCTCTTCCTTGATAACCTCCTTGTCCTCCTCATACTTATCAATGGTATCCTCCTTGTCTCCAACCTTGATTAAGATCGTTCTGAATGAAGTGTGTGAAAGAACCAAATTAAATGAGTTTTTTTCGATTATATCTTTGTCTCGTCGACACTAGTAAGTAGTAGGATGAAAACAATAGTACTTGGTTGTATCAACATGGACTAAGGAGGGGAGAGGTAGTGAAACACACAATAATTCTAGTTTAAAGGCCTCTTATAATATATACTCTTTACTAGTATTATATTAATCAAATTTTGTGTACTACTAGATTTTTTTTAAATTGGGTCCGAATCCGATGAACTTGTATGAGCTCCAATATTAAGTTTTTTTTTTTTTAGATCTGGAATCATTTTTCTCAATATGGATTTAATTAGTTTCTCATGTTTGTGGGTTATCAAAGTCCCATAGGAAAAATGCAAATAAGCTATCAATAAAGGGTATAAGCTCTACCATGACTTGTATCGTGTGTAAGGCGACATGTAGGTTTAGGTTGAGAATGATATTCAAGACTTTGGCAAATTGGTCTTTGAAACTAAGAACTCTCCCTCATCTTGTTTCACACTTTCTAAAGCTATTGATGTGGCTTTGTGCATGTAATTGCCCGCAAATCGAGTCAAAAATCTATCAATTAACATATAATATGAATTAACTAAATTATAGGGGAGAGTATAATACTATTGTAATGCAAGTCCTCATAATTTGGTAGGGAAAAATTGGTGTAACTATATTGCTTGTATATGGATAAACTTGTGTTTTGTACATTTTCAAGTATTTTTCTAAATTTATCTTCAAGTGGAATGAGGGTTTCCATGATCCTTAAACTCGAGGAATGTTCGTTGTCATCCTCACATATATCAATGTTAGTGGGTACATCTGACGAGAATTGGGTGTATGTTATAAAACATGTTAAGTTACTTGTTAGGATTTGCATCATTTGTAATCTCCCTTTTGATGCTTTTTTCTCTGCATAACTTTTTTGATGTATTGTTTTGCGGTTTTGATTTATGTTTGGACGTTTGAGCTCCGACTCGTGCTTTTGATTTGTGCTTAAAATTTCGAGCTTCACATCATGTTTTCATAGTTGCTTTAGTGGTTGGTGTTGGTGATTACATATGGTTGGTGCTCAACTTGATGCAATAGTACTGTCCATCAATGGTGATCTATGCAACTCAGTTTATGTGATTGAGGTCTTTGGGTGGGAATTTTTTATTCACTCGCGTAGAGATTATAATTTGACTTGATTTTATTTTCATATTGATTTCAAGTCTTTAATAATTTTTTTATTGGGTATTTAGGAGTTTATTATCATTTTATTATTATAAATGTTAAATTTCTAAGTATTTATTCTATTATAATTTTCTCATGTGTTTCTTAAGGTTATTAATACAATTTAAGGGATCCGTCTCTCAATTTAAGTTTGATATCATCCGGCTTTGAGTTAAAACCATAAAATAAGTATGGTTGCAAAAAATGAACCCTACAATGTTATCAAATGTTTGTACTTGAACTGTGAAGGTCAATGAGAAAGTGTAAAAAGTCACTCATCAAGTTGTAAATAAGAGTATCTTCTTTGAAGTTTGACAAATAAAACTCATTTAAAAAAACTTCAATACTCAAATTAGTATTAAGAATATGATAAGAGAGTTACAAAAATATTATAAAAATCTAATATTATATTTAAAGAAAAAATAAATCATATGTTGATTGAGACTTTCTAAGATAAAGTAAGATAAAGAAAAAACTTTCAAAGGACAATTTTTTTAAAAAAATTTGTGTGGACAAGATATTTATAACCTTGGCATCATTCAACTCCAAATATAATCTACATCTATCATCTCACTCTTTTTTTCAATTATAATAATATTTCTATGTTTTATTTTTATTTTTTAAATCAAGAAAAAAATTATATCACAACCGATGTCATTATAAGTGTTCCTTTGTTTATTATAATTATCTTAATTAATAATAATACACATTAACCATAAATTTATCCCCTCTCCTTCTCCTTCTCTTTCTTCCTTCAGAATAAGTTTTTTTACTCCTCTCTTATAGAGTAGTTTTCTTATAAGAGTGTCATCTCGATGTCTTAAGTAGTATTTATTAAAAGATGCGATAATCATTTAAAGGGTTAAAATTTTTTGTATAGTTTTTATATTCATATAAGATTATGAAAAGATGTCTAGCAGATTCTACCAAATTCGGTCATCTCATGTCTTTTGTTCATTCGAGATACTTTCACATCTCTCAAAGGATACATTATTCTACAAAAATTTCTATATAAACTATTTAAAAACATATTTAGAAATAAGGATATACCTACTTTCTTAAGAAAAGAAAAAAAATATAAAAGACAAAAAATTAATCAGTACTAAGACTTTAATATTAGAAACCAATATTTACGTGATTGCAATATTCCATCAACTATCCTCTATATATATATATAAATAAATGAACATTATAAACAAATAAGCTTAATTAATTTTAAAATTGAAGATAAATAAAAATTGTGATTTAATATTTAAGTTATAACACTAATACGTAAATAACTAAAATTTACAAAAATTTAGTTTATTATTATTATATTAATAAAAAGAATTGTTAATTTGTTAGTTTTTTTAAAGAGACTGTACATATATTTTTCTCTTCATTTGTGGATAACTATCTCACGTACTTTCACACCCGTAGGTTAATAATAAAGTAATAATAGATGCTTTTTTGGTGGTGTGAAATATATAAGAAACAACATTGACATAGGAGAGAAGAGAAGCGAAAATGGTTTGACCAATGACCATACACCCACCACACCACATCTATCGTCCCTGCGTGTGTGTGGATAAGCCACACCAACTCAAACAAAACTCCAAAACTCGAACCAATCATGGTCGTTTCCTTGCATTTTCCCCTCTCCAATTTCAAACACGCCACAGAGATACATTCTTAGCTTTTTTCATTTACAAATCCACGATACCATGTCCGTCCAGGCAAGACGGCTTGCCGTTTTGTGCGCCCATCTCAATCCGACCCCCTTCCCTCCGGATCCTTCCGCTCCGCTTGTTTCGGCTTCGCTCTGTGCCGCTGATTCCGACACCGAAAACCCCACTCTCCTAAACGATTGCGTTTTCTGCAAGATTATTCGTGGCCAATCACCAGCTTTGAAGGTACACATTGTTTTTATTTTTGGACATTGCGGTCAAAGATTAGTGTTTGGGAATAAATCCTCATTCAAAGGTTTTTAGAATCTACAGAGTTAATGCCATCAATTTGGTCCAGAATGATAATGTTTGTGGAATTGCAATCCAAACTCTAAAGTTACTTGTTCCTTGCTCTGAATTATTGTTTAAGGAGCAAGTTGATGTTGTTAATATTAGAATGCTGGAGCACGGGTTGTATGTACAATGAGTTTTCAACTTCGTTAGTGTGGTGATTTTTTTCTGCCACATGTTATAAATGATTCTGCATTTTCTAAAGCTGCTAAACCAATTGCCTCGGTAATTCACTGATGTGTTTGTTAAACATGCATGAACAGCACTTAATATGTTTACTGGCACTTTTTGTTTTCAAAGTATGAATAAATAGAGCTTGATAAGCACTATGTTGATAAAAAGTAAAATGCTTTAATTGATGGAATGAAATATTGTGTTTATAAATTGGAAACATTGACTGTTTATCTTGTTGGGGTTATGTTACTTTTTCAAATTTTGTTGGTTGGAGTTTGATATTGAAACTGTGCTAATCAGAGAGAGAGAAAGATAGGGAGAGGGAGAGTATTATGGAATTGGAATAATTGAAACCTTGCTTCAAGAACCTGGAAATTTTACCACTATTGAAAAGTATTTGTAGATAGACTTTCTTAGTTTAAATTTATAAACAATTGAAGTACATATATTTATCCTAGCAAAAGTTTGTGAACACTACCCAATCCACTAGAGTTTTCCGTTGTTGGTGTTGATGCCTTAGACTAAAGGGAGTCTCGTCAACATGTGACCTAGAGGTCAGGACGTGTAACCTTTAGGTTAATCTCTCTGCAAATTCTGGATGTAACCTCTTGCAAATGCAAAAAAATTGCACACTACTGACGTGGACAATGGTTTAACCCTTCCGTGGATCTTGTGCATAGTGGTAGCATTACCTTAGCTTTTACTGCTTTAATGCCTAGACATCAGGAACTATTTGAAATTGTTAATTTCACTATTTGTAGTTCTTCCGAACATGTTTATTTTATATTTTGAATCCACGTACTTAATTGTTGTCGTTACACTTTTCTTATGACTAATATACTCTTCAACCATGTTTTCTCATAACTTCGACCCTACTTATATTAATATTTTGTCAAATCAACAGCTTTATGAAGATGATATGTGCCTATGCATACTGGATACAAGTCCGCTGAGTCATGGGTAAGGTGTCATATGTCTCAAGGTGCAATTCAATATAGGTATATTGTAAGACATTGTATTTTGTTATTTCACTATTTTATGAGCATACATACATATGGTACATGGAGTAGATAAGAAGCATGTATTTTCAGTTTTATATTTGAGTTGTGATATTGAATATCAATATTGCTTCTATTAGTTAACATTTGATGTCGTTAAGTTTTTTTCCTTTACATTTCCTTCATGTCACAATGCAATTTTGAAGCCATTCTGGTGCACAAACTAACTTAACATGAAAACTACTTAGCCTTGCAAGCCTATCTATCATAATACTAGCAAAATAATATCCCAAAAGAAACTGTGTTTAAGATTTGCTGAAAATTTCAATAGTTTCCCCTCTAATATTAGCATTCCAAAAATGAAAGCACATGGTAAAATACACACACTCACAACATGTCAACACTCACCAACCAACAACAACGAACAACAGAATACAACGTTTCGTGTATTAAAATATCTAGTACAACCCAAGATAATTTCCAAAAGTAATGTTTTACAGATGCAGTGTCAGATCCCCAAGAAAACAAGAGACCTATCCAATGGTAATGGGGAGAACTACAACTCCTGCTAACCTTGTAGTCAACTATCTTGTTATCTGAT